ATTCAGCCTGTATACTGCTATCTTCAGCTAACCCTAAAAAGTCTTAAAGTAATCACAAATATTTACATAAAAATGTTAGGTCAAGGTATAGTCTATGAGATGGGAAGAAATGGGCTACAGTTTCTAATTAAAGAACACTCCACCTATAATAACCCCTATGAAACTAAAGGTAAAAGGAGGATTTAGTAGTAAATTAGGAACAGAGAGCTCAGTTGAATGAACATGAACACACCACCTATCAGCCTCCTGAAATACTTAACAAACCCAAATTTATAATTAACACAAATTTATGTATAAAAGAAGGTAAGTCACGACAAAATAATCATACTGGAAAGTGTGCTTAGGTAAACCAAAATGTATCTGAATTCAAAACACCTGGCTTACACCCAGAAGATTTCGTATTAATCTGACCACTTTGAACCAAAACTAACAAAACTCAACAATTACATATATTTAAATGAAAGCCTTCATTCATAAAAAGTATAGAAGATAGAAATTCAATTAGGTGCTATAGAAATAATACTGTAAGGGAACAATGCCAAGAATAATTTTTAAAGTATAAAAAAAGCAAAGCCACGAGATAGTGATGCTTTGTAGTTTTCATTTACATTTCCCTAATGATTAATGACGTTTGAGTATATTTTCATGTACTTATTTGACAGTTGTTTATCTTCTATAGATAAGTGTGTATTCAACTCTTTTGCCTATTCATTTATTGGAATGTTTAATTGAATTTTGTGATATTTTCTATATTTTAGATACAAGTACTTATCAGATATGATTTTCAAACATTTTCTCCCAATCAGGGACTTGTCTTTTCATTCTCTTAACAGTGTCTTTATAAGACCCAGAGTTTTTAACTTTGACGCATTCCAAATTACTGATTTATTCATCTAAGAAATCTTTACCTAACTCAAGGTCACAATTTTGCTCTCCCATGTTTTCTTCTACAAGTTTTACAGCTTTAGGTTTTATATTTACATCTATGATCCATTATGAATTGCCTTTTGAATTGTCTTTTGTACATGGTACAATATACAGATCACAGTATGTAACTGTGTATATGAATATCTACTTGTTTCAGCACGATACATTGAAAATACCATCCTTTATACATTGAATGGCTTCTGCACCTTTGTCAAAAGTCAGTTGTCCAATATATGTAGGTCAATTTTTAGGTGGTTTATTTTGTTCTTTTGATCTGCTCTTCTGCCTTGATGCCAGTAGTACACTGTCTTAATTACTATGGGTTTGTAAGAAGTCTTAAAATCAGGTAGTGTTTGTCATCCGTTTTGTTCTTTCTCAAAGTTGTTTGCATAGTCTAGATCCTTTGTATTTTTACATGAATTTTAGAAACAGCATTTTACTTTCTGTTAAAACTATATCAGTTAGGATTTTTATTGGGATTGTTCTGAATATATAGATCAGTTTAAACAGAACAGGCATCTTAACAATACTGAGTTTTCCAACTCATGAAGACAGTATGTCTCTCTATTTATTTAGGTCTTCTTTAATTTCTCTTTGCAATGTTATGTAACGTTCACTATACAGACCTGTCACATATTTGGATAGATTATTCCTAGTTATTTCATATTTCTTGGTGCTCTTATAAATGCCAGTATTTTGAATTACATTTTTCTTTTCACTGAGCTGTCAGCTGCCAAATGTTTAACAGTAGCTGTTAACTAATCTTCTAGGTTGAGATCTCAGACTATAAATTGGAAAAGGTACCTGATACTTAGCAGGCATTTGCCTGTGTTTCCATGTCAGCTTTCAGAAGTTATTGAAAATATATTGTAACTAGAGGAAAAAAGTCCCAGAGACAAATCAACAGGTCATCTCCAGAAAAATCCATCGTAAAATAGTTTAGTAGATTTCAACTTTATATGTGGTCAGAATTGAATCTGTTGAATTGTGGGGTTTGTTACCTACTCCCCACCACCAGCAATCCATCTCAGTGAATTCCTGGGATCTTGGGTGTTGAGAAAGAAAGAGAGAGAGAGAGTGAACATATATGTATGTGGATATGTATGTGTGTATGAATGTGTATATTGCTGAAGCTGCCAGAAGTATTTATTGTGAGGAATACTTCAGGTTAATTACTGTGGTCATATCAGACCAGTTCAGTTCCTAGGACATACCAGAAAACAAATCAAAGTGATGGTTATTTTCTTTTCCGAGCTGTCTTGGCCCACATTGTTACCATGGTGACTCAGTGACTGCCATGAGATTGGTGCAGAATGAGCATTCGTTTATGTTTTTTGCCTGAAACACGTATTATTATGATAGTTGTTAAGTGGCTGTTTTCCAATTCTGATATTCCTTCTGGAATTATCAGTTTGCATTTGAGAAAAAGATAGAGCTTTTTCTTCTCCCTTATTTATCAATGTATTTATTAACATTTATTTATGTCAGTGTGACTCAGATTCCCATGTTCCTCAAAGGGTTACCCTCTGTAATTATTAATATATATTTTTTGTATTAGGCCATTCTTGCCTTGTAATACAAAAATACCTGAGATGGTAATTTATGAAGACAAAGGTTTAATTGGCTCATGGTTCTGCAGGCTGGACAGGAAGCATGGCCCCAGCATCTGCTTAGCTTCTTGGGAAGCCTCAGAGAGCTTTTAATCATGGCAGAAGGCAAAGCAGTAGCAGGCATGTCACATGGCAAGAGTGGAAGCAAGAGAGACAGACAAGGGGAAGGTTTCAGACTTTTAAACAACCAGATGAATCAAAACCAGGGAGGTGAGGTGAGAGGTGTCTACATTTTGAGTAATTTCTTTTGTTGTTTCTGTTACTCATCCACGATTGAAAAGCAATGCTGTGGATGGCAACAAGGTCTATGAAAAGTTTAAATCCTTTGATGTCTAATTTCATTGTTAGTTGCTCCTGCTACTCAGCTTTAAATTTCTGTGTCTTGTCTTGTGTGTCCAGTAGGTAACAATTTTTTCAATTCAGTAATTCTTATTCAGTGATTAATGTATGAGACACTGAAGAAACATCACAGAGAATAAGAGAAGAAGAATCCCTGGAGCTATCATTCTAGTTTGGGGAAACTGGCAATAAGCAATCAATGAGTGAGGCAATTTCATATGGGGATTTGTGTTTTGAAGAAAATTAACAGGTAGAGTAGAAAATGACTGAGACAGGGATTATCATAGATGAGGTTGTCAGTGAAGCTCTTTCTCAGAAAGTGACACTTGAGCTGAGTCCTGAACAACAGAAAGAAGCTAGGCATGGAGAGGCCATTTTGTCAATGTCCCTGTGCTGTGTATGGGCACCATTGATCTAGGAGCAGAGGACAAGTTGGAGTGGCTGAAGCCTGGCCCATAAATGCAGACAAGTAGGAGATGAGGTTGAAAGGGCAGACAAGAGCCACAAGGTTTGGATCTTTTAAGGAGTTTGGGTTTTATTCTGAGTGTGGAAGTCTAGAGTACGGGAGTGACGTGATGTGATCCTTGTTTTCAGAAAGTGACTCTGGCCACTGTTTGGAGAATGGACTGGAGAGGGACAAAATAAAGAGTGGGGATAACCATTAGAAGAATATTGCAGAAATTCAGGGAAGAGGCACAGGTGAATGATGCCAGGACTGCAGCTGTCTGCAGAGGAAGGGTTAGACCTGGACAGGTCGTGTTTGGAGGTAGGGCATGGGGGACCTGCAATAGCTGTGTGTGTGGGGTGTGTGGGGATAAGGCATAGTCAAGGAGGACCGCTCGGCTGTTTGTTTGGCCATGCAGAGAAATGGTGAGCTGTTTTCTGAGATCAGTTCCTCCAAGTGCTTCTGAGGCATTCTTAAGGTAATTAGTCAACCAACAGTGGTTGTAGTGAAAAAAAGTGATTTTAAAATGCATCAGTTGATGACTAATATTCATACCTGAGGGTAGACGGAAAGAGGAGAGTTAAGGATTGAAAACTACCTACTGGGTCCTATGCATATAACCTGAGTGGCAAAATAATCTGCACACCAAACCCTTGTGACACCCGATTTGCCTGTATAACAAACCTTCACATGTACTCCTGAAACTAAAATCAAAGTTAAAAAATGAACAAAAATTTAAAAAATAAGTAAAATCAAAAGCTATATAAGGCAAAAATAGGTAAATTTGACAGCAAAATTAAAAACTATTATTTAACAAAAGATACCACAAACAAAAGTAGAGGACTCCAACAGATTGGAGGAAAATATGTCATTTTATAATAAAGAATGAGTATCTGGATCATAAATAAATAAATAAGAAAAAGGAAAAACAAGACTCATTTGTAAGACTATTAAGCTTTATTTAATTTATTGAATTGGCTTGATTTAATCTTTCCACAATGTAAACATATATCAAAACATTACAGTGTACCCCATAGTATATACAATTATTTGTCAGTTAAAATTAAAATTTTAAAAATACCCGAGTTGATAAATAGGATTCAGTTGCACGACTATTAAACTTTCTTTCCCCAGTATCTCTGCCTTAGAATTTTCAAGTTAATGTGATCCCTGGCCATTTATATTTTTAAAAACCAGAACACAGGGACTTTTTTTTAAATTTAAATTTTAATTTTAAGTTCCATGGTACATGTAAAATATGTTTTGTCCTGTATTGTAAGTACTATATAATCCTGGTTTTACTGACAAGACTTTGAGTGATTTTATGGTGAAATAACAGTATTCAAAGTCACAAGGTTTTTACATGGCAGAACTAGGGTTTGTCTCTAGTCTGTATACAGAGCCCACACTCCTAACCAGTACACTTAGGAAGAAGAGACAGATATTTGTTGAACTATGTCAACCCATGGTGGTTGGTGTAACTTTGAGACCATAGCTCTTTTATCTGTGTTTCTGTAGTCATTCTACATTGTACCAGATGGTATTTATTTAAGAAAAAGTAATAATTTTAAAAATAAAAACATTAATAAACATCATAATTACTTTGTACTAGACAACTTGGCTGTTGATATAGATAATTCCTTGGACCCCCAAGATGAATGAGTTCTTTTCCCTTTTAGGAACTCAGAGTGGTTTTCCAGATGGGAATCACATTGCTCTCTGTCCCTGAGATCTTGCTGGAGACAGGGCTACTCAGTCCCTCTTTGCTGGGTGAGTATAGATGTGGTGTGGTGACTTACTCAAGGGCACCTAGAGTTAGTGGGATAAGTATGTCTCCTGTCTCATATCCAGCTGCATGTCCATTATACACAGCTGTATTAGTTTGTTTTCATGCTCCTGATAAAGACATACCCAAAACTGGAACCAAAAAAAGGTTTAATTGGACTTACAGTTCCACATGGCTGGAGAGGCCTCAGAATCGTGGTGGGAGGTGAAAGGTTCTTCTTACATGGAGGCAGCAAGAGAAAATGAGGAAGAAGCAAAAGCGGAAACTCCTGATAATCCCATCAGATCTCGTGAGTCTCTTTAACTATCACGAGAACAGCACGAGAAAGACTGGCCTCCATGGTTCAGTTACGTCTCCCTGGGTCCCTCCCACAACATGTGGGAATTCCGGGGGATACAATTCAAGTTGAGATTTTGATGGGGACACAGCCAAACCATATCATACCGCCCCTAGCCCCTCCAAATCTCATGTCCTCACATTTCAAAACCAGTCATGCCTTCCCAAGAGTCTCCCAGAGTCTTAACTCATTTCAGTATTAACCCAAAAGTCCACAGTCCAAAGTCTCATCTGAGACAAGGCAAGTCCCTTCCACCTATGAGCCTGTAAAATCAAAAGCAAGCTAGTTACTTCCTAGGTAGAATGGGGATAGAGGTATTGGATAAACGCAGCCATTCCAAATGGGAGAAATTGGCCAAAACAAAGGGGTTACAGGGCCCATGCAAGTCCAAAATCCAGCAGGGCAGTCAAATGTTAAGGCTCCAAAGTGATCTCCTTTGACTCCAGGTCTCGCATCCAGGTCACACTGATGCAACAGGTGGGTTCCCATGATCTTGGACAGCTCCACCCCTGTGGCTTTGCAGGGTACAGCCTCCCTCCTGGCTGCTTTCATGGGCTGGTGTTGAGTGTCAGTGACTTTTCTAAGCATATGATGCAAACTGTCAGTGGATCTACCATTCTGGGGTCTGGAAGACAGTGACTGTCTTCTCACAGCTCCACTAGGCAGTGCCCCAGTAGGGACTCTGTGTGGGGGCTCCAATCACAAATTTTTCTTCTTCACTGCCCTAGCAGAGGTTCTCCATGAGCGCCCCGCCCCTGTAGCAAACTTTTGCCTGGGCATCCAGGAGTTTCCATACATCTTCTGAAATCTAGATGGAGGTTCCCAAACTGCAATTCTTGACTTTTGTGCACCTGCAAGCTCAACACCACGTGGAAGCTGCCAAGGCTTGGGGCTTCCCCCGTCTGAAGCCACAGCCCGGGCTGTATGTTGGCTCCTTTCAGCCACAGCTGGGACACAGGGCACCAAGTCCCTAGGCTACACACAGCATAGGGACCCTAGGCCCAGCCCAGGAAACCACTTTTTTCTCCTGGGCCTCCAGGCCTATGATGGGAGGGGCTGCTGTGAAGGTCTCTGACATGGCCTAAAGGCATTTTCCCCATGGTCTTGGGGATTAACATTAGGCTCCTTGCTACATATGCAAATATCTGCAGCCAGCTTGAATTTCTCCCCAGAAAATGGGTTTTTCTTCTCTATCACATAGTCAGGCTGCAAATTTTCCAAACTTTCATGCTGTGCTTCCCTTATAAAACTGAATGCCTTTAATAGAACCCAAGTCACCTCTTGAATGCTTTGCTGCTTAGAAATTTCTTCTGCCAGATACCCTAAATCATCTTTCTCAAGTTCCAACTTCCACAAATCTCTAGGGCAGGGGCAAAATGCTGCCAGTCTCTTTGCTAAAACATAACAAGAGTCACCTTTACTCCAGTTCCCAACAAGTTCCTCATCTCTATCTGAGACCACCTCAGCCTGGATCTTATTGTCCATATTGCTATCAGCATTTTGGGCAAAGTCATTCAACAAGTCTCTAGGAGCTTCCAGACTTTCCCACATTTTCCTGTCTTCTTCTGAGCCCTCCAAACTGTTCTACCCTCTGCCTGTTACCCACTTCCAAAGTTGCTTCCACATTTTCGGGTATCTTTTCAGCAACACCCCACTCTACTGGTAACAATTTACTGTATTAGTTCATTTTTACACTGCCGATAAAGACATACTCAAAACTGGGAACAAAAAAGGGTTTAATTGGACTTACAGTTCCACATGGCTAGGGAGGCCTCAGAATTACGGCGGGAGGCGAAAGGCCCTTCTTACCTGGCGGCAGCAAGAGAAAATGAGGAAGAAGCAAAAGCGGAAACCCCTGATAAACCCATCAGATCTTGTGAGACTCATTAACTAGCACAAGAATAGCATGGGAAAGACTGGCCCCCATGATTCAGTTACCTCCCCCTGGGTCCCTCCCACAACATGTGGGAATTCCGGGAGATACAATTCAAGTTGAGATTTAGATGGGGACACAGCCAAACCATATCAACAGCATTAGCCGTGTTCATATCTGTAGTGCTTCACTTTTCAGGGGCTCAGTGGATATGTGCTTCTTTGAGGTTAACCTGCAGATAATATATGGGAACACTAAGTATCTTCAAATAAGAAAAAATAGGGTGTTGAATTTTTTATGTAGCCTAAACTGTAATGGGAAATTAGAAGAAAAATTCCTAGAATCATACATCATGTTCTCTTTTGTAACTTTCTTCCTTCAGTCAACATACTGTATGTGAGATTTACATTTATTGTTGTCTATAGTAGTAGATCATTCATCATCATTGGTGGATATTGTTACATCTAGTGGATATTTCACAGTAAGCATATCTGCTATGTGGATTTTTTCTAGTTTTTGACATTATGAATAACAGTGTTATGAATGTCTTGTACATATCTTTGGATAAACATTCATTTTTCTTTCTTTTGGGTGTGTACCTTCCCCAGACCTAAGAATGAAATTTCTGAGTTGTAGGATGTGTGTATGATCAGCTCAGTCAATACTGCCAGCACTTTTTCAAAGTAGTTGTTGAATTTGTATTTTCACCGGTGCTGTGAAAATTACACAGCTTCCATATCCTCACCAACACTTGGTGTTTTCCATCTTTTTAATTTTCTTTTTCTGGTGTAAGTGTGGTGGTATCTCATTATGGGTTTTAATTATACTTTAATTTCTCATTAACTCTCTGGAGTTTTAAATCTCTTTTCTCTCTTTGTTTTTGCTTTTCAATTTACATGTTCAGTATCCCTAATCTGCAAATCCAAAAGGCTCCAGTATCTGAAATTTTTTGATCATTGACATGATGCTCAAAGGAAATGCTCATTGGAGCATTTCAGATTTTGGATTTTCAGATTAATGATATTCAACCTGTATTTGCTTATTACACTAGATCTTTGGTTTGTGCAGTATACATTCTCAATTTTGCTGATTGTATCCCCATTGTGCTGTTACTTACGTTGCTCTGGCCCCTCCTATTTCCTGTAAATTAGTAGAGTTAGAGGCTTCATCCAGTTCAGGACTTTTTTGGCAAGAGTACCTCGGATGTGTTACATATCCTATATCCTTACGCCAAGTCTTAGTTCAGGCTGCTTTACCAAATTACCACAGACTAGGTGGCTTAAATAACAAGCATTTACTTCTCATGAGTCTGGAAGCTACAAGTCTAATCAGGATGCCAGTATGGTTGGGTTCCTGGTGAGAATCCTCTTCCTGGTTATGTCCTCACATGGCCTTTCCTTGGTGTGTGCATGCAGAGAGCAAGCAAGCTCTCTGTGTCTCTTCTTATAAGGACACTAATCTCATAATGAGGGCTCCACTTTGATGACCTAATTATTTCCCAAAAGTCCTATTTTTAAATACTGTCACATTGGAGATTACGGTTTCCACATATGAGTTTTGGGAGGACACAAGCGTTCAATTCATAGGCATACAAAGAACCTCATTGTGTCTGATTGTCACTCCTACCTTGACATTAAGATTGAGCGCTGGGCTCAGGTGTTGTTAGACTGATCCATCCATTGTGAAATGTCCCATCTGCTTTTTACCTCATGATTTTTTACAATCTCTGATCTTTACCAAGATCTGCATTTCTTTAAAAATTCTACAGTGATGGTGTTTAGATAGTACAATTTCTTCTGCATTTATTAGCTGGACATTTTCTATAAGAGAAACTCCCCCGCTTCAACCCCCGCCAACTATTAGGCTTAACTGAGGTATGGCACACACAGGAAAGGAAGGACAAATATTTAATCATTTTGCAGTATTTCCAGTTTTAAGAATAAGTATTGTTTCTGTAGGATCCTCCACAGATGAGCAGTGAGTTGGTTTTGTTTGAGTTTTTTCTTTTAGAGTGTCATCACGACTCAGAGATGTTTCTGTATGTAATGTGTTTTAACTCACTGTAGGCACTAATGTTTTTGATGCTTAAATTGTTCTTATTTGGTCTGTGGAAGTCCTATCAGGTTGGCTTCTGAGTCTTTTTGACATGTTCGCTGGTATGATCATTCAGTCCAGACTCATCTGGTACAGCTTGACCACAGACTTGGATTCGGCCATTTTTCCTTGTAGGTAATATTTTTAGAGGACTCAATCTGGGTACTAGAGTTGCTCATTGCTACTGGGTTGGCCATTGCTTCTTAACTTTTTCAGTGCATCAGACCAGTAAATAGGTATTATATTTTTAAGAGAATATACATGATCAGCTTCCATCCTGGGCTGCTACTCTGTTCCCTTATAAGTAATTATTTTTATCAGTTTTTGTTTTAACCTACTAGTTTAAAGAATATAATAGAATGTTATATGGCTGTTAGTTTTCTCCTCTCCTCAGAGGTAAAAGGTGGCATATCCAACCTCAGTCAAGTTTCTAGAAGCTCAGAGGTGTGGAGCATTTGAGATATCCCTTCTAAGGTGAAGGATAAATACTTGCACCTGGCCTTTCCTACAACCAAAAAAGAGGTACACCATCTGGTGGGCTTCTTTGGATTTTGGAGGCAACATACTCTTCATATGGGTGTGTAACTCTGACCTATTTACTGAGTAACACAAAAAGCTGCTAGTGTTGAGTAGGGCCTAGAACAAGAGAGGGCTCTGCAACAGGTCCAGGCTGCTATGCAAGCTGCTATGCCACTTGGGCCATATGATCAAGCAGATCCAATGGTGCTTGAGTTGTCAGTGACAGATAGGGATGCCCTTGGGAACCTTTGGCAGGCATTCATAGGTGAATGGCAACACAGGCCCTGCCATCTTTCCTAGATAACTACAGTTCTTTTGAGAAACAACTCTTGGCCTGCTAATGGGCCTTAGTAGAGACTGGAAACAACCAAGTTTTCACGTGACCTGAGCTGCCTACCATGACCTGTGTGTTATCCAACCCACATAGCCATAAAGTTGAGTATGTACAGCAGCACTCACTCCATCAACAAAGGTAAGTAGTATACATGAAATCGAGCTCAAGCAGGCACAGAAGGCACAAGTAAGTTACGTGAGGAAGCAGCTCAAATGCCCATGGCCCTCATTTTTGCTACACTCCTTTCTTTCTCCCAGCCTGCACCTATAATCTAAGTTCCCTATGATCAGTTGACAGAGAAAGAGAAGTTTGGTTTACAGATGATTCTGCATAATATGCAGGCACTACTCAGAAGTGGACAACTAACACTACATCCCCTTTCTGGGATGTCCCTGAAGGACAATGGTGAATGGAAATTCTCCCAGTGGGCAGAACTTTGAGCAGTGTACAGTGTACCTGGTTGATCACTTCGCTTGAACAAATGGCTGGACCTGCCATTTCTATATATACTGATTCATGGACTGTGGACAATAGTTTGGCTGCATGATCAGTAACTTGGAAAGGACATGATTGGAAAATTGGTGACAAAGAAATTTAGGGAAGAAGTACTTGGATAGACCAACACACATTGGGAATCAAGCTTTCAATACATAAACTTTACTGGACACATTCTTACTGCAGCATTCTGCCCCCGGCTCATAAAATTCATGTCCTTCTCACATGCAAAATATTCTGACTCCATCCCAGTAGCCCCAATGTCTTTACCAAATCAAATGTGGATGAGACTCAAGGCATGATATATTCTGAGGCAAATTCCCTCAAACTGTGAGGCTATAAAATCAAAACAAGTTATCTACTTCCAAAATGCAACAGTGAGACAGGCATAGGATAGATATTCTAATTCCAAAAGGGAAAAATAGGCAAGAAAAGAGGAGTAATGGGTCCCAAGTAAGTGCAAAACTGAACAGGGCAAACAACGTTAAATCTCAAAGCTGGAGAATAATCTTTCTTGACTCCATGTCCCACCTTCTGAGCACACTGGGGTATGGATTAAGCTCCAAGGCCTCAGAAAGCCCCACCCCTATGGCTTTGCTGGGTTGCACCCTTGCAGCAGCTCTCATGGGTTGGAGTCTCCTGCCTGCAGCTCTTCCAGGCTGGGGCTGCACACTGATGGATTTAGAGGTTCATGGTCTCATTGGCAACCCTATGCCTGTGGCTCAACTAGGCATTACCCTAGTGAGAACTCTATAGTGCCTCTGCCCCTGCAGCAGGTTTCTGCCTGGGTCACAGGGATGTCTGATACATACTTTAAAATCTAGGTGAAGGAAGCGGTGCCCCCATAGCTCTTGCATTCTGCTCACTTGCAGAATTAGCACCATGTGGGAACCAGCAATGCTTACAATTTGCACCCTTCACAGGAGCAGCCCGAGCATACCTAGGTCCACTTGAGATACAGCTGGGGCTGCCAGGCAGCACTGTACTAGAATTCAGGGATCAGAGTCCCAAGATGGTTCTGAGCAGTGAGCCCATGAGGGACACCCCAGGCCTGTCCCTTGAAATCATTCTGCCCTCCTAGATCTCTGGACTTGTAGGAAAGGGGCAACTTTGAATATATCTGAAATGTCTTCAGAGTCTTTCTCCAATGCATTGTCCTGATGAACAGCACCTGGCTTCCTTCTAGCCATGCTAATCCCATTATCAGAGAGTTGCTTGGCTGTACTCTTGCATGCTTTTTTATTCTTTATATGACATGAATGTGAATTTTCCAAATGTTTATGTTCTGATTCCCCCCCCTTTTTTTTTTTTTTGAGGTGAAGTTTCATTCTTGTTGCCCAGGCTGGAGCACAATGGCGCAATCTCGCCTCACTGCAACCTCCGCCTCCTGTGTTCAAGCAGTTCTCCTGCCTCAGCCTCCCAGGTAGCTGGGATTACAGGCGCCTGCCACCTGCCACCATACCTGGCTAATTTTTATATATTTAGTAGAGATGGGGTTTCACCGTGTTGACCAGGCTGGTCTTGAACTTCTGACCTCAGGTGATCCCCTGCTTCAGCCTCCCAAAGTGCTGGGATTACAGGCATGAGCCACCATGCCTGGCCCTCTGATTCCTTTTTAATTATAAATTATAAATTCTGTCTTTAAATCATTTCTCTTTTCTTACATCTTACTGTATGCAGTTACAGATGCCACACAGTTCCTCCAATACTTTGCTTAGAAATTTCTTCTGCCAGATACTTTAGTTCATCACTCTTAAATTCTGCCTTCCATAAAGCCCTTGGGCATCAAAACAATACAGTCAAGTTCTTTGCCAATTTATAACAAGAATTGCCTCTATGCCAATTTCTAATAATATATTCCTAATTTTCATCCAAGACCTGGTGAGAATGGTCTTTACTGTCCATATTTCTACCAATGTTCTAATCATAGTCACTTAGGTAATCTCTAAGAAGATTCAGACTTTTCTTACAGTCATACTCTTCTTCTGAGGCCTCACCAGAATTGCCCTTAATACTCTGTTCATGGCAATGTAGGCTTTTGCTAGCTGGCTCCTCCGAATTCTTCTAGCTGCTATTACCCAGTTCCAAAGCCACTTTCACATTTTCAGTTATTTGTTGTTTCAAAACCCCACTTCTTTGGTACACATTTTCCTAATCCATTTTTGTGCTGCTAGAACAATGTCACAGACTGTGTAATTTGTAATTTATTGGCTCACAGTTCTGGAGGTTGGGAAGTCCAAGATCGAGGGGCTGGCATCTGGTGAGGGCTTTTTATTGTATCATCCCGTGGCAGAAGGGCAAAGAGAAGAGGAGAGACAGCAAGAGGGGGAACAAACTTGTCCTTTTATGAAGAACCTACTCCCACAGTAATGGCATTAATCTGTTTCTGGGGGCAGAATCACCATGACCCTAGACATCTTAAAGGTCCCACCTTCCAACACCTTTATATTGGGAATCAGGTTTCCAACAAATGAACTTTGGAAGACACATTCAAACTATACCACTGTGGATACCAACTAGAAGCAAGTCACTAACTCCAGCTCACACACAATGAGGCAGATTATACAAAGAAGTAAATAACAAGAAACAAGAATCACTGGGTGCATACTTAGATTATACTTACCACAACATCACTAGGCCATTTCTCCTTACTGATTACTGGGAATGCTTCATATGTCATGATAATTAGACTCATATAATTTAATATTATAACCTAATTTAATATTACAATTTTATAATGCAATTTTAATATAATATATTTGATATATTAATATTATATTTAGATAAATATTTAATAATTTGATATTATATATCATATAATTTCGTATTATAGTTTTAAAGTAATATAGTTCATTATATAAATAAATTAAGCAGTACCCAGTGCATGTGAGCACTGAGAGAAATTAGAGCATTCAAATTCCTGGTGACTTCAGGACACAATGCCTTAATGAAATTCCAGTTTCTATTACTGAGCAGGCATTACAAAGCAATTTGTCTGATTTACATAACTGTTCCTAAATTTCCATAATTTAATCTAAATTATACATTAAATAATAGGCTACTTGAATAAATGTTAAGATGAAAAGAGATGCAAATTAGAGCATTTCTTGCTCATACTAGTTTTGTCAACATTAATTTTCTACCCTCCAGATCATCTGTTCCAGAGGAAACATGTGTCGTTCTGACTGAGCCCCTGCCTGTCTGTCACCTTAAGAACCAGTCAATTCATATGGTCCACATATCAAGGTCTCCTGTGCCCAGAGAGAGAGAGGATTTCATTTCAACCATCACCATCACCACCATCATCATCATCACCAGGAGGGGTTGTTGAGTGAGCATCTGGGGAGAGGAGAGTAAAATGATCAGTTCCAAAGCCCTGGTGGCCAGTCATCTACATAAGAAGTCACTGGGCATAGGCAGTGTTTCTCTCACCTTCTTTCATTCTTGTCCCTGTTTTGGAGGACTTTTAGACATGTTCTTCCTCACACATCCTTTCTGCCAAGAATGTAAAATATTAATACGACACGTAAAGTGGTAACTGTTTTTGTACTGTGGTACTTTGCAGGACCACAAACCATTGTAATGTCTACCATCCTCCTTAGCATCGAGAGCCAATTTTCAGCCCCTTGGGCATGATGTCGCCTCTGTTGACAATGCATGAAATACTGTAATGACAGCAAAGGCTGGACCACATTCCTGCACATTACTTGATGTGTGATGCTGAAATCCTTTCTTACCCTCTGTCAGCTTGCCCTTAGTCATCTGTAAAAGGAGACTCACTATATCTTCCTTACATGACTAGTCTATGGTATAAATAAGAAAACCTGTACAGCATAGATGTCACCTAGTAGGACATCAACAAATGTTCATACTGACCCACTTTTCACCTCCCTCCTAGAGAAGCGATAACTTACCTAAGCCAAACAGCACAATTGCCATAGAGTCTACCTGGAAATATACCAAGCAATAAGAAGTTAAACCTACTCACACTTGCATTATGAATAAAGCTTTGGGAACTATTCCTGTGTTGCAGGAGGACTTTGCTGAGGGATCAGGGAAAAGGGAAAGAAATAATTAAAACATTTCCTTTAATCCCCTGTCATTTTCTGCCCCCTTGTTTGATCTTCTAGATTGATATTGGAAAAGCAGTTTCTATTGAGCCCCCAAATGAAGAGTGAGTGCAGATGAAGAGGAGGCAGGACTCACAAGCCCTTGACCTTCATTCCAGACCCATTAGCATCTACAGGACCCTGCACCGGGATTTCATCTGCACTGTCAGCTTCTTCAAAGAGAGAGAGGTTGTTGAGTGAGTACCCACAAGGGCATAGTACTAAAAACATGTAAAATTACAAGTGTTTAAGTCCTAGAAGGTTATGATCTATAAAGAAGATACCTGGGTGTCCTCTGGGGAGGATAAGAGTTAGAATGCCATTCCTATTCCTTACTAGATGAATCTGCAAAATTGATTTTACATCAGCAAGTTTAATATAGTCAACTTCAGAATGGGAATAATGATGATTTCTCCACAGAGTTATGAGGGAATCATGCAAAATATACAACTACATGCTTTTAGCTGTAAATATATAAATGACATCATGGAGTAAGTGCTCTTTTGAAAATTTTTATTCTCTGAAAATAGTATTACTTAGCTATATCTAATAAGGTGATTTGAGATTCCTTTAAATATGACTAGCCATGCTATCTTGGCCATCTTACATATATGCTGTCCAGACCTAAGAGTACAGTGGGTGACAGGTGCCTTGCTTTCTTCTCTCAGAGAGGTTGCCAAATGTCTCTGCAAAGAGGTTGTACCAATTTTTCCTCCCTAGGCCATGTATGGAGTTTTCATGGCCCCACATTTTCCATTTAATGAGGATACAGCATAAACACCAACTCACTGACTGAGTTTTCTTTTCAAACACCATAATTATTCCAGAACATATTTGAGACATAAAGTGGGATCATTATCTTTGCATTTGGTAATTTAAATGTGAAATATGCCATTTATAGGAAAATAAAATATGGAAAATGAAAAATAACATTCCAACAAAAGTATATCACATTAGCAAATATTAATAATATAGTGAAACCCATTATTTGTACAGATCTTGAAAAATGAGTGTTCATATCTTGTATTTCATTGTGACAAATTAGTAAAGAGATTTTAAGGTGAATTAGACGAATGTTTAATATTCGTGGCTTTTTGAGGAAGCAGTCCCGCTTGTGGGAATTTATACTCTAGTTAACAGCCTGAGAGGTCCCTGCCATCATCAATCATGTGTCCCTCCTGCTCAGTGCTGAGCTGACAATTTGCCTAATTGGCTTGGTGCCTTAAGGACTCCCTGACCCTGTTCCATCTATCCTTTTATCCAAAGAGAAAAATAGGTGTCATGGCTGGATGCCCAATTTCAATGGACCATATACTGATGAAACCCAAGGGTTGATATGGAGCAGTGCTCAGATCCTTACTCCTGGAGGGACAAGTAGATCTCTGGCCTCATCCCTATTTGAGATAAATCTCTGTTCCTCTCCTTTCTCTATGTCCTCAGAGGACCTCCTTTTCCTACCAGATAACAAGCAGTCCAATATTTCTCTGAAGTTTAAGTTTCCTAAAGAATGGAAGACACTGGATTCAGACATCTTTGGCTCCCAACCCTGCCATAAACCTCTCCTAAGGCAAGGGGAAGGAACACCAAGCCTGGTTCCTTGCTGGAAATGCAAGGAGGGTAAACACAGGGAGGACAGACATTAACTTCCTCAACAGTGTGTGTCCAGATACATTTGCTAAAGATCTACCACCAGCACTTAAGGTGCCCAGGCTGCCAGCTACTATCCCAGGCTCTGTCAGTTTCTGTGGTGATCAAATCCTTTGCCATTCTACTTTGCCCTTGCTCATCTGTAAAAGGGGACTCACAATGCCTTTCTTAGACAAGTTTTCTGTGGGGTAAATGATAAATCCCCTACAGAGTAGATGGCACCTAGTAGAACTTCAACGAATGGTCATCCAGGCCCAACTTTTTCCTCCCTCCCAGAGAAGTGATGACTGTTATCTAAACCAAGCAGCATAACTGCCACAGAGACCACCTGGAAGGAGAGCAGGAAGATGGAGCATGTGCTCACACTTACATTATACATGAAGCTTTGGGGCCATTTCTGTGTTGCAGGATGGTTTGCTGAGGTATTGGGGTAAGGTGAGAAGATCGTCAAACGAGTCCCCTGTCATTTTCTGCCCCCTCATTTGATCTGCTACATTGATTTGGAAAAGCAGTTTCTATTGAGTCTCAGATGAAGAGAGAGTGCAGATGAAGAGGAGGAAGGAATCATAAGCCTTTGACCCTCATACCAGACCCATTACCACCTATAGGACCTTGCACTGGGATTTCATCTGCATGATCAGCTCTTTCAAAGAGAGAGAGGTTGTTGAGTGAGTACCCACAAGAGCATAACCCTGGCAACACAAGAAACTACAAGTGTTTAAGTCCTAGACAGTCATCATCTCTGAAAGGAGACAATGTGTTATCCTTTGAGGAGAGTAAGAGTTACATCCCCACTCCTGATCATTACTAGATGCCTCTGCAAAATTGATTTTCTATCAGTGAGTCTTAGTTGGTCATCTGTAAACTAGAAATAATGATGCCTTCCTCAAAGACTTGTGAGAGAATTATGCAAAATATGTAATTGTACATTTTTGGCTATAAATGTTTGTGCTATCGTAGAGTAAGTGCCCCTTTGCACCTTTTTCCCCTCTGAAAATAGTGTTTCTGAGATTTCTCTAATAACGTGACTTTGGGACTGTTTAGATATTATGAATCCTGACCATTTTTGTACCATTGCCCAGGCTGCTTGATTCTATCCCTAGCTCCATGAGTTTGTGTGGTGAGCAAACTCTTTGCCATCCAGCTCTGTGCTTAGGAGGAAGTGCGTTGTAGTCATATACATCCATGAAGAGAGCATAATCGTACCTCACTAGTAGGGTTGTCATGAGAATTAAATTCAGTCACTAAAGTCAAGAACATGGAGCTGGACCCTATAAACAATGTGCTCCATCAATATTAGTTGCCTTTTCTCTCTGGATCAGAAAACTAATGTGGCTCCTAACCTGACCCCTCAGGTAGGCCTCCTTCACTTGCATGTACATGAGAATTAGCTTGGAGAACCTTTTCTAAACCTTTAGCAGAAACTCACTTGTTGGAAATAGGACTTCTATATCAAAGTCCATTCAAGTGATTAAGCCATAGTAATATGGGCCTCAGAAAGTAGATATTCCATTTGACACCTGAAGTGTTATGTGAAAGCTCATTTCCCCTTCATTCCGTCTGTGCCAGGTATGACCAGCTTTTGCCTTTACTGCCACTCTGATCGCTCATTTCCTTAGTCCTGCCCATTGAAAGAGCTCTCTCAGATAATTGTTAACTCAGAGATTCACAGCTCTTGTTCCTCTGTGGTGTCTCCTGTTTCAAGAGCCCAACATGAAAATATGGCATGCTTCTATGATGTTAACCTGCTGATAAAATGAGAGGATACAAAATAGCTTATTATCTGAAAATAGAATGCTGATTTTTATCCCTGACCCCAAATGTCATGAATGAGATGACGAAATGGCAAGTGACTGATGATGCTCTATTCTTCACAAGATGCCATCAGCTGGAGATGGAAGCCCCAGGAACCAGTGTGGGTTCCTGGGGCTGTCTCTACTTCCTTCACTCCCTGAATTATTTTCTGTGGACTAAGATTTGTACTCTGTTTGTGGCTCTGATGGTGTTGGTGTGTGCTTTCTGGGAAGCACGAATGGGGAGGAATGCTAGGAAGGTGTCAGCTGTTAGAGAAGCCCTGAGAGGAGGGGATCCTGATTTAAGAGAGGATTGAAAACCATGGCCCTAAGTCAGGTTAGTCCGGCATGCACATGATGTCTAATAATAAGGGGGGTGGCACACTTACCCTCCTAAGAGGCACCTGAATTTCCTGTGAGGGGATGTCCCTGCCATGTTTGTGTGCCTTGGAAACTGACTTCTGACACTGTAAGGACAGCATTAGTGTTGTCCTCAGAAGGCTAGGCGGTGGGGTGAGGGTGGGGGAAGATTGAATCCTCAGAGCAACTTTAAAGACCCTACTGACAGAGACAGAACAGCCTGCTTCAGCTGAGAGGAGGGCAGGAGAGATAACTAGGTGGGCAACAGGTGTCTCTTAAAGCAGGAACCATACAGTGGTACATGAGGATCATCAACTCTGGCTAAGTGAGATGCTGGCCTGAGATGTTAGAGCACTTTTACATGCTTTCATGAGCTGGAGGTAGAGCACAGGCCTGCTGATTCTCAACTCTGTGCTCTCATGAATTACTGCAAGCTGCCTTTTCAAAGGAAAGGCAGACTTTGTTCTCACCATCTTGGAGACACAATTTCCTCATCTCAAAAATGGGAATTGGCACCACTCCTTTTATAGGGCGGTCCTGAAGACAGACTGCTATCCTGTGTGTGCAGAAAACAAACTGCAAATATAACCCTATTCACGTTAATGAGACAGACCCTGGGGTCATTGGAAAATGGAAGGCTCAGCCAATGGTGCCATTTGCTCAGAGCACAGAGTGCTTGCACACAGGGCTAGAAAATGTAGGCTGGGTCCATGGTAGGAGGTGTCTCTGGCAGGGAGAGAAGGTGGGTTGGTTTTGAGGATGTTTTGAAGATATGATTATCTTTACCCACTTTCTTAATAGTGCCAGCATTACCTGGTAGTGCTCTTCCTTCCAGAGACTGTATTTGTCTCTGAGCCACTGTTGCTATGCAACAGCCTCCTCTGAGCTCAGAGCATGATTCAGCAATACTGGTCTGAGCTGCTACATCCAGAGTCCTGGAGATGAGATGACAGAGAGGAAGTGGGAGAAGGTCTGGGAAGTCTGTACAGGAGTGGAGTCTTGGGATCTTGAATGGCCTGCTGTCTGGGAGGGTCCATCTCTGGAGTGAAGACATGTCAGCCAACACTGATGAGAGACAGAGCGAGTAAAGGAGATAGATCAATGAACAAAATATATGGAGTGGACATAAAATGAAGCTTATGCTTAGCCTTTTAATATACATAGGAATTTTCCAAAAAGAATTGGCAACATATTCTCCAAACTGTTTCACGAATGACTCTAAAGAATAACATCTGTTTGGTCATCTAAAAAATTAGGAGCTTTAATTTTTAAGAAAGGAAAACCAAAATGATGATAGATCCCCTTTGCCCATAATTGCAGCTCTAGAATTCTCAGATGGTGACTCAGCAAGAGTGGTAGGAGGGAGTAGGGACCTAGGCTTGATGGTTATCAGCCAG